TCTAGTCTCTAAATTTGTCTAATAGTTCCTCATTACTAGATTCAGGTTATGCATTTTGGGTAGGAATCTCATATAAATGGTGTGTCCTTATTGCATCGTATCAGGAGGCATATGACACAGGTCTGCACCATTATTGGTGATGTTGTTATGTTTCCTTGGATAAGGAGCTGGTCCCCAGTTTTCCATTTCCTTTTTTTAAATAGTAAAATTACTGTTAACTCTTTGCAATTGGTAAAATAATGTATTGAAATGTATTTTGATATTATATAAATATACATCCTGCCCTGGTTGGTATAGCTCAGTGGATTGAGTGCAGGCCTGTGAAGCAAAGGGTTGAAGGTTCAATTCCCCATAGGGTACATGCCTGGGTTGTGGGTCAGGTCCCCAGTATGGGGAGTGCAAGAGGCAACCATACACTGATGTTTCTCACCCTCTCTTTCTTTTTTTTTTTAACAATTTTTTGAAGATTTTATTTATTTTTAGAGAGGGAAGGGAGGGAGAAAGAAACATCAATGTGCGGTTGCTGGGGGCTGTGGCCTGCAACCCATGCATGTACCCTGACTGGGAATCGAACCTGCTACACTACACCCTCTCTTTCTCCTTCCCTTCCCCTTTCTCTAAAACTAAAATAGATAAAACCTCCAAAAAAATTTTAAAATATATATATATACCCTGTTCTTTACAACTTTGACCTACTATAAGTAAAAGTTTTCCCTTTTTATTAAGCAAGGGCTTAATAAATATTTTTATTTTATGGGTTATAAACTATTAATAATTTTGATGCTCAGATTATCCCAGATTTCTGATTTTATGATTCGTGAAGGCTGGCGTTTGTGTCCTTCATATCCTCATTTAAATATTTCTTACTTTTTGGCATAAGACGTTCCTGGCTCATTTGAATTTCCCTGCTGCACTCCTGAAAGCTGCCATTTCAATAAGGTGAATGGTATTCAGAATCCAAGATTTAAGCAATAGGTCTGGGATATTTTTGTATCTAGGTATTTTTAGCAAATGGATTAAAAAGTGAAAACACAAACATACACTTCTATAAACATGTACCTATAGTCTTGTCTATGAGTTCATACTGATGCCTCCAATTTCATTCAGTTCCACAGGGTTCCTCCTAGCCTAGCTGCATTCTGCATTTCTAACCCCTTCTCCAACAATTAGAAACCTGGTCCCACTGTCCTCAATTTATTTATTTATTTTCTCAGCCTTCTAATGTACAGAAAGTAGTTTCAGAATTTCCAACACACATTGGTGTGGAAAACAAGCCTAGCAAATTTAGACTGAAGTTATTTAGTGAAAGTAAAGTCTGTAGATCAGTTACACCTATGTTAATTTCTTGTTTTTATAATCAATCATACTAGGGCTCTTTCTTTTAGAGAAATCCATACATGCTGTGTTCTAATACCTGAGTAGTTCTAGTTTTTACACTTAGCTCTCTGATCCATTTGGAGTTTATCTTTTGTATGATGTAAAGTATGGATATAACATTATTTTTTAATAATAATATACTTTATTTAACCCAATAATTCCAAATATCATTTCATCATGCAATCACTATACAAAAATTATTTTTTCTTTTTTTAGTAGTTCATTCTTTATCATAGTTTTTTCCTTTACCATTTATGCCCCATGCCCTCTTCTACCTCTACCCAACCCCCATCCCCTGTAGTCACCACACTGTCATCTGTATTCATGAGTTCGTTTATTTTTTGCTCCACCCAAACCATCGCCAACCCAGAGATGTCATCCTGCTCTCTCTGAGTCTGTCTCTATTTTGCTTGTTAGTTCAGTTTGTTCATTAGATTCCACATATGAGTGAGATCATACAGTATTGTCTTTCTCTAATTGGCTTATTTTACTTAACATAATGTTCTCTAGGTCCATCTATGCTGTCACAAAGGGTAAAATTTTCTTCTTTTTTATGGCCGAGTAGAATTCCACTGTGTAAGTGTCCCATAGTTGTTTTACACACTTACCTATACTTGGGCTGCTTCCAAATCTTGGCTATTATAAATAATGTCACAGTGAACATAGGGGCGCATATATTCTTTTGAATTAGCGTTTTGGATTTCTTTGGATAAATTCCCAGAAGTGGAATTTCTGGGTGATAAGACAGTTCCATTTTTAGTTTTTGGAGAAAATTCCATACTGTTTTCCATCATGGCTGTACCAGTCTGCATTCTCATCAACGGTGCACTAGGTTTTCCATTTCTCCACATCTTCACTAGTACTCCTTGTTTGTTGATTTATTGGTGATAGCCATTCTGACAAGGTGTGAGGTGGTATTTCATTGTGGTTTTAATTTGCATTTCTCTGATGATTAGTGGTGCTGACCATTTTTTCATGTGTCTATTGGCCATCTGTATATTCTCTTTGGAGAAGTGTCCATCAAGTTTTTTAAGAATACCTGTCCAGTTACACCAGGTCATTTATTAAAAAGTATATCACTTATGTATCTACTAGTTCTTTGGCCAAATCTGATATTTATTTTTCTTTAAAAGCCATCACTGTTAATTTTTAGTTTATTTGATTTCTCCAGAGTAAAAGAATTCTTAAGATCTCACACAACAATTATTTTTCTTTTATTTCAAATAGTTTTGCCTTATATGCTTTACTATTATTTGGTGCATAATTCATGTCAGGTGTCACTTCAGAACTTTCATAAATCTAACATGGCCATCCTCTTGTGATTTCATCCTGGTTTCCTTGACTTCTTAGTCCAGATGAATTTCGCCTCACTGTTTTTGTTTACACTAGTCTAAATTATCCCATGTAATTTGGGTTTTAATATTGCCTATCATTTTATATGTCTTTTGTAAAAAGCATATAGGTGCATGTTTTTAATTCAATCTTATATTTTCTATTCTTCAAGATTGTAAATTCAACCATTGTTACTTATGTTAAGCTGTTATGGTTCATCTTACTTTGGACACTTTGTTTTATTCTTTCTCACTTTTTATGCTTTCTTGCTTTTTGTTTCTTTTACCAAAATCATTTAAAATTTTCTAATTATCAAAGTCTAGAATGAAAACATCTTATTACCTTTATTCTCCATTTTTTTATAAACAAGTTTTCATTAAATACTTCTGCAAATATTTTTTTCTCTAAAAATTTATTCTTCTAATTTAAAAATGCTGCTTTTTAAAAAGTAGCATTTGGCATTTTAGTAATTTCTCAGGTCCTCTTTATTATTAATACAGGAAAAATGTCCTCTTAATGTGACTCTTCATAGAAGAAGGAGGAGACAGGATTCTCATAAAGATACGAAGAATTCCCCTCTGGAGCTGTTCACCCATCACTAGAAAATGTCTGTCCACCTTGTTTTCCCACAGGCTGCTTTAAGAGTAATGTCACCTTTGTCACCCATGGTCTCTGTAAAGTGACGTAAGTCTCAATGTTCATAAGCATGTTTTAGAACAAATATAAATGGTACAAAATTAAGTTTTTAAAGAAAGGAAGTGGAAAGTGCCCTAGCTGTCATATGTAAGAGATGGTACTATATCCTCATAATACACATTTTTCCCCTAACAAACTGAAAAATAAAAATACTGGCTCATTGAAAGCCTTTTATCCATTCACTGTTAGTTTCCACACTGAGACAATGATTTTATCCAACTGAAAGGTTAATTTTGGACTTATATTCCTAAAGCCCACAAAATTAGGAATGTTGGACATAGCAATCCCATTTTATAAGCCGTAAAACACATAAAAGTGGGAGTCAATGGGATAGAGGGAGAAGAGAATTAGAATTATGTATAATTGTATTGTACACATACAAATGGAAGAGACAGGCCTGCATGAGCCCCTGAAGGAGTGGTAGGTGGCACAGTGAAAATTCTGGTCTTTTAGACAGAATTGTGTAGATTTAGAATGTTATCACCAGAAGGCGTTAGATTTTGTTGTACATTATACCAAATGTCTTCTTACTAAAACAATTTTGATTCTCCCTTTACAGTAAAGATATAGTCTAGATATTTTTATTTGGTATGTCATACTATTCCTCATCCACCGTCAGAGGAAGACGGCCACGATCCCTTCAGCACGTGAGGTGGTGAGTGACTGAGTGTTGGTTGGGCCTGGCTTCAGCAAAGGTAATAGGCGGCATTGCCTCAGAATCTTGGTGGCAAAATTGCGTGACCTAATTCTGTTGTCGCTCATACCCCCCAAAATAGGCTCCAGGGCTTGTGCACATTTCCTTTTGAGTCAAACTAATTTTGAGTCCCCATATGTTTTCATTTAGCTGAGGATGCTAAGTTGTCACTGCTACCTTTGGTCCAACTCTTGGGTGACTGTACCAGCATATCCCCAACCGAGCACCCCAAGCCCTAGATATGGAGGACAAGAACCTCCACATTCTTGGATTTTATTCATGAACAGATTTTATGCAATGGCAAGAAGAGGAAAAAGTATGTCAGAATCACCAAGACAAAGCATACACACCTATTGATGTTCTAGTTCACATTAGACAGAAATCAGTGATAGGACCAGGAAGTAAATAAACTAACCCAGAATCTATCCCTTGATGTAAGAATTAGACAGATGTGAGGGAGACTTTATAACCTATACATACTGTTAGCTGTTAAAAGTTATAATAAAATAGACATGTAATGGGGTACTTAGTATTTGTTGTCTTATACTGGAAGTAGTAATAAAAAGTAATAAAAAGTATTTGGTAAAATGCCAGGTTTTGCAGAGTCTCACTGTTATCTATCTTTCAATACTCATTTTGCAGATAAGAAAAAGGGACAGAAGGATTAAGGCTATCCAGATATACAGAGCTAGCAAGATGCAGAACTAATTTCCAAACACAGGTATGACTTTTAATCTATTTTTTTCCTTACTGAGAACATGTTTTTATTCATCTTAGAGAAGGGGTAAGGGGGGGAGAGAGAGAGAGACAAGACAGACAGCGACATGAGAAACATTGATCAATTGCCTCCTGTAATGCCCCGATTGGAGGTCGAACCTGGAACCTAGGTTATGTGCCCTGATCAGGGACTGAGCCTACAACTCTGTGGTGTACAAGCCAATGCTCAAACCAATTGAGCCACCCAGCCAGGACTACCCTCATATTTTTCTACATCATTCTTAAGACTTGGCAAAGGTGTAAAATAGGAGATGCCTATAGTATTTTAAACTGGTAAGAACAGATACTACACTTGATCTTAGCCAAGAGGCCAAGAAGCGATGGGGCTATAGTTTTTAATCCATCCTTGGAGATTCATATTAACCCTAACCAATTGGTTTTTCTCACAGTTTCCATATTCTGTTTGGAACAAAATTATTTGATTATTCCAGATACTTTAATGGAGAGTATCTGGAAAATTTTTACCAACAGGGGAGAAATTGGGGAAAAAGCATATAAAATTTTATAGATGAGCCACCTGTTATAAATTTGGTTCATTCTTACTGGAATCCTCATTTTAGTGACTAACCTGTGACACTGTGTACAAGGAGGGGAAGTAAAGAAAATTATTAAGGAAGGTGGTCCCATTTGTAATTCAAACTGATTTGTGGTAGCCATATGCTCTTGTGTTGGCTGTGGAGAAATAGGGAGACCAGGGTGATAGGCTGAGTTGTAACTACAGACTCAGTCAGTATTAGAAATGCTGAAAAACAGAGTGCAAATTAGAACAAGACATCTATCACCACGAAAGAGCAGTCATCTAAGGAGCCCTCGGAGGATTCTGCATAATGTTCCTGGAGGAGTCTTGGTAGTCTTGGGTGAAGGAGGGTTCACTCAGCGTATCACCAGCTACAGTCTCTATGCAACAGATAGGTCCTCTCTTCCTCTTTTAAATTGTGGTTATTTGGAATTTTTTAAAAATTAGAGACAAAAGATCCCACACTTTTGTTGAATCATTACCAGTCTTCATGTACTTTGCATAGAGGAACAGGAAAAATAACATCCATTTAGAAGACAAAAGAATGACATCTCACACGAACTGCAGCTAATTTGGAAGAAGAATAAACCCAAGGTAATAAAATCTAAATTAAAACTCTTTCTCCTGTTTCCTTCAACAAAAGGAGCAATACATTATTCTTTCTCTAGTCTTCTAGTATTTTGGGATGGTAGTGCTCACTGATCAGTAAGATGATAATTAGTCTTAATTATCTGCTACTTTGCCTTTTAGTCACAATAGAGGTAGAATATCCAAGAATTAACTGCATTTCCCTGGTTGGTGTGGCTCAGTGGATTGACCTGCGAACCAAAAGGTTGCTGGTTTGATTCCCTGCCAGAGCATGTGCCTGGGCTGTGGGCCAGGTTCCCAGTTGGGGGTATGTGAGAGGCAATGAAAAGATGTTTCTTTCCCATCTTTTCTCCCTCCCTTACCCTCTCTGAAAATGAATTGAAATTTTTTTTAAAAGAATTAACTGCATCAATTGCAATAACAAATTAATCATCTTTTCTAATTTTTTCTTTTATACCCAGTGCTTACAGCAAATTCTTGATTCTGTTGTTAAATTGAGAAGTTTTTAAAACATAGTTTTTAAACTTATTGATTTTAGAGAGGGAGAGGGAAGAGGGAGAGAGAGAAAGAAGAGGGGAAAGGGAGAAACATCAACATTGATTTGTTGTTCTACTTATCTATGCATTCATTGGTTGTTTCTTGTGTGTGCCCTGACCATAGATCGAACCTGCAATCTTGGCGTATTGGGATGATGTTCTAACCAACTGAGCCACTTGGCCAGGGCCCAAATATTTGATATATTCTTGTATGCAACCCAGAGTACATAAATAAAATTTTGATTTCATCCATGAAGTAGAAACTCCTATAATGCAGGATTTTGAAATTCATTTAGCTCAGCAGTATGTTCCTATAAGCAGCGCTCTAATAGTTTTTCTTGCTCTTATTAAAGGATGCCCCAGGCCCTGTCCTTATCCTACACAGACAGATACAAGACGTGTAAGTGAGCTTTATATTTAGCCACTTTGGATAGGTAATAACATTGTTATTCTCAGGCAGTCTAAAGTAATCGGTTTTATGTCTTTGATCTTGAATGGAAATGTTCGATTTTGCATCAATTATGCAGACTAGCTATGAAAGTGATTTTATTCATTAAACTATGCAAGATGATGAAATATGCCACTTTAGTTTTGTGTTAAAAAGGAAAAATACTTGGTATGCTAGCAACGTGCTACGCTGTAAGGTAGACCGCAAAGGGTATGCTGCAAAGTAAAGGGAGGAGGGCAAAGCAGATTTCTTTGAAAACGAAGGGGTCATTTTTAGATTTAGGGCAACCCAAGAGTGTGGTTTAAAGCTGTCTAGGCAAAACCATGTGTTTACGATGTGTTGCCTCTTAGCTCATGTCAGTTCTTCCTGTGGACTCTGACACATGCACCATGTGAGGGAATTCCACATTGCTATCATTTCAAGGATGGTTCTCCAAAAACCAGTGGAAAGAGATGTGTCTCCATCAGTAACTACCGAGTTGCCTTTTACAGAAACTGACTCCAACCATCCATGAAATTAGTGTAATGAAATTTACAAAATTTACTAGATGCCATTTATTTCCTGGTACCAAGTGTGTAGGCACAGAACAAGAGGGGCCCATTTGTTACGTGACATGTGACATGTTAAGAGTTCCGCTCATCTATGTTCATTAAGTTGAAGGAACTATGCAAATGTGTATGTACAATCCCAACACTTAGAGTGCACCGTGGGCCCAGATTATAAGTGACTGTATGGACAGAGATGACATAAGTAGTTCCGACCTGAAATTCTGCAACATCAGTTCACTGCCAATGGTGGATCGTGATAATTTAAGTTCATTTTTTTGGTAAATTCATAATGAAATACTTATTGAAAGCATCTGTACCTCTTGTTCGCATATGCTTTGATAGAACCGCTTCACTTTCCGCATCACTTGGAAACAAACCACATTAGAAATGAGACACTATAAACTTGAACAGTAACGGGGCTGGGCGAAATGACTGTGACTACAATATTCCATGCTGAGGGAAAATCTTAAGTGAAGAGGGCATGAAATAACTGAAAGCCTTCTTCCAACCAGCTAAACTTTTGGAAGTGAAAAATTTCAACATGTATTAGGTGATAATCAGTCATTTTACCTTGAAACTAGGGAGAGAAGCGAATCTTTAGAAATGTTAAGTGACCAAACCAGTATGTGCAGAAATTAACTTTTTATTATATATCATATAATGTAGTAGTAAAGTTTGTTTGAAGTGCATGAATAAAAAGTTAGTGAAATTACAGGAGGAACAATCTATATAGCAATAATAGGTGCATTCCCTGTGCATCTGAAAGGAAAAAAAAAGAGTTTTCACTCATTTTGGCCTAAAACTTAGTGTTCAGGTTCCCAGGATTCTGACATCAGAACCCGGATAACACTGATTAGAACCATAGGGGCTTTACAATAAAAGCTAAAATATTGACCATATGATGGCAAAAAGTCTTATTTTGTGATTATCTGATTCTCTTCTAGCTACTCTCTGATGAAGTTGGTGGTGCTGTAGAGGAGGACCGCCGCCGCCTGGACGAGGACCGGGACCGCTCAGCGTTGTAGGTGGCCTGCTTGTCGTAGTTCTCCATCTGAGCCTCAATGAAATCTCGCTGCTGCTGCCTGAGAGTCTGGCTGATGAGCCCAGGGAGGGCGTGGATACTTCCGATTAAAGTCTCTAATTTCGTTTCTAGAGTAACAATCCTCTTCTCGAAATCTTCGCTCCGCTCATTTAAGTCAGAAATCATGTCATACATGATATTCTGGGTCTGGAAAACAGGGGTGAGAGGGACAGAGAAACAAAGAACTAAGGCTTAGTCACTCTGGCCCAGGAAGCAAACTGTCAGCTCTCAGTGCGTGAGGCTGATCTCCCTCAGGTGACATCCAGTGCAGGGCGTGGGGAGGGGAAACGCACATCTGCAAACTGAACATTGTATCTTGCAAGGAAAATTCAGTACGTCCATTCAGTACTAGGGTTTAGAACTGTACTATTCCAGGCATTAATTTCATCCAGTTGCAGGTACTGTAGGTGTTATTCCCAGTGATTTCTGTTTGTATACAGATAGATAAACATGTTTTGGTTTAATATTTATGTATATATTTTAATGGTTGTTACAAATGTTAGAACATTGAATTCATTTTGTAAGATGTAACACTAATTAAGGCAAGGCTAATTTTTAAAAACAAGATTTAAAGAAAAACAAATAATAGTCTGAATGGTATTGGGATATAGCAGAAATTCTGAGGAAGGAATATGAAGTTTAGAATAAACTGACTTGATTACATAATTTAGGAACTTAAAACTGTAAAAACTGATTCTCTTATGCTGTCCCATGTGTAAAATTAGGGTTCTCTGTGGGTCAGAGAGTATTTTTACAGATAATCATTGAGAGAATGAAAGTCGGAGACACCGAAGGTACAAGGCTACCTTGTCGGCAATGGTTTGATCAGATGCTAATTGGTTTCAAATAGATGTTTTTGGTGTCCTAGTGAATTCTGCAGCTGATTGTCTTCCCCAGAGAGTGTCGTGACTCTGACTCCTGCTTGTATTTCCAGGAGAATCCCAGGGACAAGAGGAGAGGACCTCTGGGATGAAGGGCATAGAAGCAGGAGTGTGGCAAAGAAGGGAAGAACGGGGATGGCAACCTTAGGTCTGTGCAGCCTTCCCCAAGTCTCAGCCCCCTGTGAATAAGCATTCCCCCTTTACCTCATTTCCCTCTGCAGTATGTGCTCTCATACTGTTCAACGGTCCTGTGTAACATCCTCTTAATGATGACAAATAAACTGATTACAGAAGGAGGTTACTATTCAGAACACAGGCAACTAGTTTGAGTTTGGCCATGGAGATAAAACATGTTAACTTTATTTTTACTATGTAGTCTTAGACTGTTGCAGCAATATCCATTCATTCAGAAAATACTGAGCTCTGTGGCAGGGGTAGTCCATGGTCACAATAAGCACTGAAGACTTAATTTGAAAGAAATAGTACCTTGCTTTATAGATATACTGTTGAAATATATAAAGAAAAACTTACATAGCTCTTATATATAATAAATATTTATATTATTCATTATACTATTATATATAGTAAAATGATGTATCACATGTATATTATTTCCAAGTGGTCTCTTTTATTATTGTCTAAAAACAACTAATTTCTTTTATCATTTGACATAGGAGTAATGAAAGAGCCCATGCTGTCTTTGTTCTTGACGTGTCTGAGCAAGAGTCGTATGTAAATACTGATACTAATCAAGGATGTCTTCGAGCTTCCTGTATGTGCGCGTCCCAGCTTAAATGCATGATATCATGTACTCTCCAAGAGGTAAGTCATTAAATACTTCCTATCATTTTCTATATACGATATCAAATATTTATCTTCAACATTCATATGGTATGTGCTATTGATATATATTAAAGTGAATATAATTTAGATATGTTATTTCATGAGTAGAAAAAGTATGTGTGGATTTCATATATCCTACTTGAGGCTTTACAAAGGACATAGCTGATTTATTAACTATGTTTAGAATGTACAGGTCCAGTTGAGAATTGCCTCTTTGGAAGCATTTGTGTTAAAAGGCTAAATACTTACATAAATGCTATTCTAATCTCAACTTTAGAATTTGTTCAAGAAAATGAAATGTTGTGATTATTGAGGAATACTCATATTTTGAAGGTAGAGTTTACTTGGAGAACAAACAAAAAATCAACCAGATACATCTTATAAATCTGACAGAAGAATTTGGGGACTATTAATATACTTTTAAAAAGAGGAACAATTTTCAAATTATGAAATGGAGAAAGAACCATAATTTACTTTAAAAAGATTACTTTTTTGAAAGATAACTTTTCATTTTAAGATATAATTTCTGGTATTTTTTAAATTCAATTTTACAGTCTTCTGAGTTTGCTTAAAATACACTGAAAAATTTTTATTGATGAGTCTTACTTAGCCTCATAGTCAAACCCAGGATGTGGTTCTGTTTTTATAGAGATGAGATTGAACTACAAATAAGAATCCCAAAAGTACTGTCTCATATTCCACCTACATTTCTTACTGTACATCCAAGTCACTGCAAGTAGAAGAGCTTTTAGAATGCAGTTGAATAATATATACAGGCAGAAAAGAAGACATTAAGTAAGAGTTTTAAAATATTCTTCTAAGTTGGTCCATCACTTTAGGGCAGTGGGTGGGCTGGGTTGTTAAATACATTGGGGGTAGCCCCCTCCTGAGGCTTTACTGGTTACTGTGCTGTGGTTAACTGGGACAGATGCATGCGTGAGGACTGAGACCCCAAACTTACCTTTGCCAGGTCCACCAAGGTATTTGCTTGGTCATTCAGTTTCCTCTGCTCCATTTTTACACTTCTTAATCTAAAAGACAGAGTCTGAAGTCAGAAAGGTTTCTTTCTTTCTACGACTATCATATGCCTTCCAAAGAGCATGCACAAAATCGACAAGAGCAATAACTGCATGGATAATGCCTTTGAGTACTTGGGGTAAAGTCCAAACTGGTTATGTATCTGGTACAATGAGAAGCATGCTTCCCCAACATCACAAAAAGGAAAGGAGAGAGAGAGAAAGAGGTGAGGTGTCCATAGGACAACTACTCACCAGGTAGTTAAAGTTGAATTAAGTAATAAAGGCTCATAAGGATTTAACCATATGAGAAAAGCCAAAACATTCCTTAAAGCCCCAGTATCGTGACAAATAGACATAGGAAGAAATATGCAAAGCAACGGGAATTGCATCAATGTTGGAGCAGTGAGCACCTTCCTATGCCTACGTGACTAGATACAGGTGTTAGCCCTGTTTAGTCTGAAATGGATTGGGTTAGGTATTTGCACCTGATGAAACACAGTGATAAGTGAGATTCTTATTAGCAAAAATAAAACTTTTATTCAACCAGCAGCAAGATAACTCAAAACACATAGTTCCCTTATTCTTCACTTGACTTTTAACTTAAACTGTCATGAATTTGAAGGGAAATCAGACCATTTCCTTGGGAGAATTTCTTTTAATTTTTATTGTACATAAAAGTCAGAGGACAATTAAAGTGTCTGACAGATGGAATCGTTACTTGTAAAGTTACTTTTAGATACTTTTAAATACCATTGCATGTAACATTGACAGTCCAAAAGCCACTGTTTAAACAAATCTTTCTGAATAAGAACTCTTAACTATTCCTTTATTTACTGTAATATTTTAACAAATACTTAATTCAGTGCTTGCTATGGTACCAAGAAATTAAGATCTTTCAACAACACAAAGTGTCTTATTGTTCTTTAAGTCAACAATTCAAAGCTTTGCTCTGAAAGAGAACCAGGTCTTTCTGAGGTACCTAGTAAAAAAAAATATATGTCTATGCTAACTTTAATACCTTGATGATTAATCATTTTACAAAGTACAGTGGTAACACTGGAGAGAGTACTTTTTATTATTTCCCAATTTAAATTAAAGGTAATTACATAGGAGGAAAAACATTTACAGGGCAAGATTTTACTGCCAGGGAGATTTTTGTAACAAATGTTCACAATGCTCTGTGATTTTGTTCTGAAACTGGGATATCCAATATGTCACCAAATCTGCTCCACAGTAAAGATACAGTTCCTTCTGCCAGTGAGTTTAACTGACATCTGCCTACATCATGCTCTTTAACGATCTAAAAAACAGTTTAAGGTTATAACTTGTCACTGAGACTGTGTGTTTATTAGAATAGAATGGCTCCTTTTCGTGCTATTATAGAGATGGAATATGTTCTAGTCTAAAGAAATTTGCAAACATAGATTTAAATCTAATATGTTGTTGAAAAATGTTTCCCTAAGCACTTACAAGGGTTACAAGTCTTGATGTATGCCTTTTAGAAACAGAGCCATAAATGAAATAAAATAAAATGAAGTGAAGTAAAAACAAGCCATAAATGAAACCCACCACCTCCCCACCCCCCAGAAAACCAAACTTTAAACGTGTGAGTCACGGCAGACGTGTATCGGAGAGGACGGCAGATGTGCAGTCCGCCCTCTCTCTGCAACTGGTTTGACCGTCAGGCTCTTCATGCACGAAACAAAGTGAGTCAGGTCAGTGTTTCTGAAGTGCTGGGTGTGTACCCAGAGATGTTCTAGATGACTGAGTGATACTCAAGCAAGACATCAAACAACACCAAAACAGGTGGAGTGAAAGCAATTCCTGTTAATTCTCCTCTAATTTTTGATTATTATAAGAAAAAGGTTGCAGGCTGGTCCTATACTGTTTTTATCTTCTAACACCTGCTAGCTTCTCCTTTTTTAAAAAGAGAGTGAGCAGACTCGCAGCTGAGAGCTTTCTACAGACAACAGCCTGTGGCCAGAATTCAATACCAGTGTTTCAATTGTCAATTGATATTACTTTTATCTCTCTTTGCTGGGAGTGCTATTTTTTAATCCATTTGTGATAGGGGTTTTTTATCAAGCTTTCTTTTCAAATTGAAGTAACAGTATAATTGGCACATGAATACCTGAAGTTTGGGATCACCAGACTGGAAGCCTCTTGCAACTTGTAAGTGCAGAGAAAGTCCTGAACTCAGCAAGTCTGGCGGCAGGGCCAGTGCTGGTCCCTTGGCTGAGGGGGGCACATCAGACCCCTATCAATGGAGCCTAACTGACTTCTCCTGGGTTACGATATTATGTTTCTGACAGTAGAATTTTGCCCATTTTATTTTCTACTAGTCTAGAAAGCTGACCTAGAGTAGCCCTGTTTGATTGGAATCCCTTTGGCTCTCTGCGCTTAAATCTTCTCGCCTCGCTGCTTCTTAGACTGCCTGTGATGTAGAGCTGGTAGAAAAAGCCTACTCAAGCTGCAGCTGCCAGAATAAAAGGTAACACGCAGATGTGTATTTTACTTTTTTCTCCCCCCAGAAGAATAAGAAACATATGTTGATTTCTTCCTTGTGAACTTCACTTATCACAGGAAAATATCATGATTTTGGATCACATTTCCATAGCAGCAATCAGACTACTAAAATTCACAAATAAAGGATCCGCTGGGTGCATGCAGCCAGGAGAAAACTCTGCAAATGTTGAAAGGAGCGGCTCACACGACTTACTTCCGAGCTCTATTTTCATTTTGTTGAAATAAAAAGACAAAACAAAAGAAAAGAAACTGTAAAATATTCTGGAACAAAATAACACAGTGTGGTGTTCAGTTGTGCACAGGGGGCTCGATTCATTGGCTGGAAGATCCTGTTAAGAGTCTGCAGGATTCAGGCGTTATCGACCAGCGAGAAACACTATGCAATATCGTCATGCCTCGTCCTTACTACTATTCTTCCCCCATCTGAAAGCCCAGGGTTTCCTCCAGAGACAGAGTTCGGAAGGAAGAACTTGTATCACGTCATTTTGGCCTCTTCAATACACGATGTATAAGTAAACAATAGAAAACATTTTTGCCTAATATGAATGTGATGAACCTAAAAGGACAACATTCTAAACAATGGGATTATGTTTTTTTTTTTTTTTTGAAGTGGTGCATCTTTTCCGAGTTGGGGCTGTTTAGAAGCCCAGCTTTCTGAAAGGGAGGTAATGTAACACTTTATGGTATGGAAATTATGTTTATTGAATTTCTTGGCTCTGAGACAAGCTATGTTGGCTGATGGGTATATAGTTGAAATGGAAGAATGATAAACTTTCAAGTTAAAGCTGCTACCAGAAAAAGGGTGAAAAACTATAGAAACAGATTGCTTGGAGGCACTAAGTGATCACCCAAAAAGACAGATACATTACTGAGAAGAGGACACAGCCTGCAGAGTTCACAACCACTGGAGACTAGAGAGGTCACATATTGAGGAGAAAGGCCATGAAGCTTGGAAAAGAGCAAGACTTGGAACAGAGCAGGCCTGACAGACAGGGAGAGAGAGCTATTGAAATTGCTCTCAGGACAAATCAGAGAAGAGGCCAGGAGAGCTCTAGCTAACGAATTTGTAAATTTTTCCTCAACCGGCAAAGTCTCACTTTACCCAATGCTGACAGACAAGGCTGACAGTCTCACTGGGTGTGAACAGTGGGCAATAAAGGCCTTGCCCTTAGGAATCGAGCCCTATGTGCTTGTCCTCATGACTTCACTAACGTAAAATGAAAGGTGATTATGTGTGATTAGAATAAACTAGCCAAACCCAGCCCATATAAACTCTCAGTTGTATTATTTTACAAAGTATAAGGCCCCTCCCACCTCAAAAGAAATCCATTAACCCAAGACTAATTCATAAAACAATTCAGCACATTTCTGAGTTGCTTGAAGCTCGTCTGCTGTAGGAGTACACATTGCTACAGAAGAGACAGAATGAGAAATGTCTGAACGAGGCAGAGGACTCCCATGCGGTTCCCTCTGTTAGTCTATCCCCGAGAAGCGCACTGAAGGGGCTACGAAACCCTTACGGTCAGGTCAGTATGCCGGGAGCAATACACCAATAGCTTATGGACAGTTTTTAAAACTAGTTCACTTAAAGATTTTTTTTCTAACGTTTATTATGAAAAATTGAAAAACCTATAGCAAAGTTGTTAAGATTGTATGGTGAACACCCCTAAAATTCCCCTAAGTTCCTGAGTGTCAGTGCATTCAGAGCTTAACAGCTCTATGACCATATATAAATATAAACATAAATATATAAATACCCACTACTTACAAATGGCTACAGAATTATACTACAAAAAAACTGTCAAACCGTTTTTTCATTTTCTGTGATATGAAAATTTACCCAAGGCATCAAAGGCAAATCATATTTAATTATACAGTTAATAGGTTACAGTGGCTGGAAGGGACACAGACCCCACCTGGAGGCCATGGGACATGCGGCTGCTGGACGCGGGGACGGACTGAGCTCGCCCACTTCCGGGTCATCTCACAACCGCAAGGTAAGCTTTCCTTCTAACGCATTTACTATATTTCCCTATAGGTTAGTCTGGGGACATTAAAAGTGCGAAGAGTGATTTCTGCACAGCACACCATGAGCATCTCTTGCGTGAGTGTTAGGGTCACCGTGTCACATGGTTCGGGGGGTGGGGGAGAGTCATGCCGGGTGACCCTCGGGGAAGAAACTTGTCCTTGGACAGGATAAAAGGCCGAGGAGAGCAGAGGTGAAGGCTCAGCATCACTCGGGGGCTGGCTCTAGAGATCCAAGCGTCGGGAGTCAAGGTGGCCAGGTGAGGGCTCTAGGCGGTGGTGCACAGTGACAGAGGCCCCTGTCAGCTCCTGGGAGCAGCTCCTTTTTGTGAGCCAGACTGAATGCAAAGTTCCTCTCTGTGCTTTTCCCTCCTATTCTTTCCCAGACTTTAAAGTAGTATTATCTTAAAATTCTAGCTTTATGGGCTTTTAAAAGGCATATTTGTGTGTCTCGTGAGTCACAGAGCTGAAGGAGAAATGTCACTCTGGTGTTGGTGGCACCATGGGAAAGCGCACGAGTGACTAGCAGCGGGTCAGCTACTCCACCACCTGTGCAGGCTCCCTCTGCTTTAGACAGCGAGTCCTTGAAGTTTCTTTTCATCTAAAAAAGCTGCAATTTCTGTAGAGTGCATAGATGGCCATAATTACAGACATATTCTACATTTTCAGTGGTACTTAGTTAAAAGGGGAAGTTGGTTGGACAGGTAAAAAGGCAATATGAGTGCTTAATGATTTCCCATAAAATGTTAGTGTAATAACATATTACATACAAGTTACCTAAATATATAAAATAAAAACTCCAGCCTCAGAGATTTCTCATCTGTACTACTAGCCAGCTCTGCGAAGACACATTTCACTGCGCAGGGACCTGGTGCTTACCCGCCTTTCCACGAGTGCCCGGTAGGCTGCGTGAGGAAAGCCCACCAGTGTGACCATGTCTGCTCTTCCCCACTTGGAAATGGCATTGAGCAAGTCCGCGTGGCATCATAACTGACACCCACACATGAATGTACTTACGGTAAGGGCGCTGCCAGCCTGGGGGAGAAAGACCTGGTGCTTTCAGGTTATCATTGAAACTTACTAGATACAAATTTGTACTTTAAAGGTCTGTGATAGTGACATGGTATAACAATGACAGGGCATGAAAGACGTCAACTCTGGTGGTCTGGATAAAGTCAGAATAATGATAAAAGAGTCAGGGTCTATAGGAACTATAAAATCTATAATGAACATGTAGCATATAGAAAATCCCCAAAGTCCTGATTAAAAACTCACTTAAAAATTCAAGTATTAAGTCAATTGTAGTACTACCTTCATGTAAAGATGCTAGGTAGTATGTTTAAAAAATCCAGAGAGATCATAAAATGTTAAAATTTTTTCTAGATTTTGCAGTAGATTCAAACTAAATATCTTAGAGCAAGCTACATAATAAGCTAAATTAAGAAATACAATTTTAACTGAAATTCTATTGCTTCTAAAAAACTGAGAAGACTTCTAATTACTATATATGTATTCAATGACTATTTTCCCAATAATAAATGATTTTTAATCATACAAAAACTGAAAACTTTTCTGAGGATTTCATTTATGAAATTATTAAATTGCCAGATAATGTCCTTTGGGAATGAGCATGACAACATTTCCTTTTTTGCTCCCTTATGAGAGAAGGACAGCCAGTGCTAGAATCAAAACCTAGAGACACAAAACCAGAATGGAAATGAAAATGGTACTTACTGATGAATAGCTTGCAAGAATTTTCGTTGGTGTTTTCTTACTTTTGCATGATCTATTTTTTTTACTAGCTTTGTATTTTTGTAAATTAGCCACGTTTCCCTGAGTACATTGGCAGCTGCGTTTTTCACCTGTTAACAAAACAAACAAGAAAAGCAGCAGATAAATTCCAAAGCAGTGCAACTTTGTGGGGGGTCACATTCTTCATCCCAATGATCTTGATACGCTCTAGCACTGTTTAGTAACTATGTCTCAAAAAACGATTTTGCATGCATCTCTAAGTTTTAAAAAGTCCCTGTATCTGTGTGAGAACAATACTTAAATTGAAATGTAAGGGAGCTACTGATCTCTTCCTGGGCTAAACTTGACCCTATCAGGGACTTGCATTCAACCACTTTTTTTTTCAGTCAAGAGGTACTTATTTCTCCACCTTGTATTACAATTGTTCTCTTTGTGTTCTTCATTTCTCTGGAGAAAGTAAAAATGCCAGAAGGTTAATCTTGTCCTTTGTGGGCTTGCTCAGCATTTCTGGCTGTGCACTATAGGAAGAAGGCATGTTTTCACTGCTGAATGTACGGGGACCCAGTCCTGCAGCCTTGCAGACTGACTTAGCAAACTGTATACTCGTTAGCACACTTTGATTAACTGGCAGAGTGTCAAGTTGTCATGATTTTGTTGGAAATTTAAATATACTGCATTTCAAATGCATGGGACACACCCAAGGATGAAAGCCTTACAGTAGCACCGCCAAGACCAGCTGATGGAAGGTGTGAACACTTCCTGGAGATGTTCAATCACTTGCTTTCTTCATTAACGTCTTCAAAAAAGAAAAAACAAAAATCCTGCAGGCTGATAAAGGGTCCAGCCAAGAAAATATTTGTTCTCTCCCTTGCTCACTACAAAATTTGAAGACCCGGAGCTTTCATTTGGCTTCTTGTTGTTAATTACTTATTCTAAGAAGCTGTTCCATTTCATTCTTTTGAGTGATGCATAAAGATCTTTCATAGAGAAAGCTGCAGACTTTGTGGGGGGCTGGGTGGAGGAAAACAACGCTTTAAGGAAGGCAGTGTGGTGGGGAAGATGGAACAATGAGCTGGGCTTGAGTAAGCTCTTGACTCTACTAGCCAAGTCCAGCCAAGGGGACTGGCTAGCTAACTGTGTAGGACTTTAGTTTCCTCTTCACTATGTGAGGTTTGGGAGCATTATAATTAAAGTTCTTTTCAGCTCTTAGGTTTACAATAAGGAAGAACCTTAGAATTACACTAAAATTATGGGCCCACATATGTATGTGTTTTTTTCATGTTAGGAAAGAAAGCATCTTTTCCACCGTGCTGAAAAGGTTTATTTTTGAGTGAAATTGTATCACTAGAACCCATTTTAAGAAAATGACTGGTTTCTGATAACTGCTTTTAGGAGTGACTTTGATGACATCCTCTGGATATTCATCAGCCTCTGCAGGAGAGCCTTTCTCGCACCTACAGAAAAAAATGGCTGAAACGTTGGAGGCCGAGCACCAGCTGTGCAAGTAAGGAGTATCAGTCCTTCTGGGCTCTTCATTCTTATGGAAACACATTTCTTTTCCTCGCAGAGGGAGGAGTCATCTTTCAGAAGACTTTTTTCCATCTGACCCTTTTATGTCCTTTCAAAGTTAAGGAAATGGGTGCAGCGTAAGCTGTTGAGGGCTGAAGATCTGGCTTTTGAAAGGCCAGTGGGATGTGACTGGTCAGCACTGCCTGGGGCTGGGATAGGCCCTTCATGTTTGGAAGAAGGACCAGCCAGGGGAGGTCTCAGCTCTCGTGGGCTCTCTCCAACAGCTGGAGCTGCCTGAAGACCAGTAAGGGCCCTGGTTGGATGTCCCCTCCCTGACTTATTCAGCCTGAGACGCAGAGGAGCAACCTAGAGGGCTTGGTGTGAGAAAGCCGGGAAACTGGGTAAAAACTGACAAACAGGAACACAGCAGTGGAACAAAGCAATGTTTGGAATGGAGCACAGCAACTGATTTTAGTTTGGATCCCCCACAGGGTTTTGAGTACATGAAACTGAGTTTATTCTTGTATTATTGTTTATTATTGTGTTATTTTCCATACAGACAACTGAAAACCTACTTTTGCCCCACCCTGTACAAATAGCAAATGCTGAATTACTAAAGTCTATGCACTTCTACAAAGGTGATTCAATGTTTGTCCTCTATGTATTTTCAATGATTCTCTTTGGGATGGTAGGGGAATGGGGGACCTCAAGTTCAGAGCTCAATGGGACGGCGATGCCTGAAGCCTTATGTTGTAGTATTTGCATCCACTCCTATTAGTTGACAGGCTGAAACTGAAAATGACTTCTTGTCATATGGCTGATTTTAAAACCTGTGAAACATGCGTACACATTTATGTTGCAACATCTCCTTTCTAATTCCCTAATAGGTTTTCAAACATAGGAATTAAACTCTTAAAGCGTCAAATTAAACTGCTATTTTTCAAAATAGCAGCCACAAAACAGAATGTCCAAGAATAGAAAAACTTATCCTCTGCCTGATGCTCAGATGTGTTTCCAGCAGGTTTTCTCAGCCCCTCCTGGGTGGAAAGGGAGCAGTTGTCAGGGCCAAGACAGGGCGGGCAGCACTTCAGTGTCTACAGGTTGCAACTGTGGGGAATTGCTACATGAAAGTAATCTGCAGACTTACAGGAAAAACTGGGAGAGGAGAAGCAGATCTATGCATTTGTGATCATTGGCCCAAAAGAGAAATGGATCTCGAAGGGAAACGTCCTTTGTTTGCACGATTTAGAATCCTACAGTCAGTCACCTAACAGCGCAACCCTGGAGCCCTTCCTCTGTTTCCCGGGGATGTACAGCAGAGAGAATATAGTCAGGTTACAAATTCTCAGAGGGCAGGGGCCATGTCACCAACCTTTGTGTCTCCCTAGCTCAGTGCTGTGGGCCCAGCCGGTACTGTACTAAGTAAATGTCTATCGGGTTAAATTTGCATCATACACACTTCTAATCATGAACCACAGATGCATGTTTCTCAGCCAAAGGATCCTCCTGATAGAAGCTTGTACAGGTTAGAGAAGAGACTGAGGATATAATGGGTCAATGCATTTCTGTTTATTAATCCATCATATTTATTGAGTCTCTGCCACATGTTAGATACCATGGTGGTGTGTATGAGGGATTCACAGATGCACCTCAAACATTTAGTAGGTGTGATAATTCTCCTGTCAGTTAATGGCCAATACCACTAAGAAATACAACTTATTTCCTATATTTCAAAAAATGAGGGAGTGTGAGGAGAATTCTTTCTTAACAGGAAAGAACTACCTCCTCCCTCCATCCCCTGCTCCACACACAAAGCAAAAAAAGAAAATAAGAACAATTTGTTCTGCCTCACTAATGCACAACTCTAATTCAACTCTTTTATCAGAAAAATTGTGAAAGACATATTAATAGTCAGATATTTTAATAATAATTTGAGAAAACAAAGACCCTAAAAATAACTCTATTAAAGACCCTAAAAATAAACTATTAAAAGTAATATTACTTTCCCAGATGCCTTAAACCCACTTTTGTGGGCATAAAGGATATGAAATGCTATGTTGCTGACTCACAGAAAATTATAAAATATTAAAGTCATGAAGTATAACAATACTTTATAAACCACAAAAAGCACTTAAAGCTGATAGACTTTTAAATGACAATTTGCTTTGTTCAACCCTAAATGACACACATAATTAGAGCACTGTTTAAAAGGCTGATTTGTTTACAGTGTTCTTTTGCTTTATAGCACTGACTCTTTTTCCACTTATTTCTTTGCTTTTCTTCCCCTTGCCTCTCCCTTCAGAGACTTGCTTAAGTGCAATCCTTCCACTCCTCCAAATATAAGGGGAAGGAACACAATCTGTGATTTAAGAAGCAGGGCAATTTTTTTAAAGAGAACCATTTCTTTAAAATTTGTGTTTAAATTACAGTTAATGTACAATAACATATTAGTATCAGGCATAGGACAAACATAGTGAGTCGACATTTGTATACTTACAAAGTGATCACCCTGATAAGTTGAGTATCCATCTGGCACCACATATAGTTATTATATAGTACTGACTATATTCCCTATTCTGTACATCCTCATAACTATTTTTATAACTGGCAATTTGTATTTCTTAATCCCTTTCACCCATCCCCTAGGAGGAGAGCTTCTTGCTTCTCATTCTGAAAAGTATAGTAAAATGTTGCCACACAAGCTGTGGGTGATGCCTATGCAATGCCTGGGACCAGTGCAGACACTGCTGTGGAGCCTGTGCATCAGCTATTGCACCAGCTGCCACGTGCTCCAGGGCCCCTGCAGCAGCTGCAGTGGAAGTGCTCAGGGCTCTGGCTTTGCCACCCAGGTCTCCTTTAGACCAGGTCCCCGGGCAGGTGAGTGTTGTGATGGTGGAACAGGGCAAGGCCAGGGGATCCATCGGTTCTGTGTTTCAACCCACTGGGCTGTGAATCCTAGGACATTGTAAGAGCTACATGGAGTATATCCCTCAAAATTTCTGTTCACTTGTTAAGAGACACACAGGAAATAAAATTATATAATTGCATAATAGTGTTCTTATTATGGATCTTATTGAGAATTCTTAACAGGATTGGAAACACCCACAGTGGACATTAATATGTATAATTATTCTTTGTGGTACATCTAGCTACTTGAAAAATTTTGTCAAGTTTCTTTCCAAAATGAAAGAATTCAGAGAGCTAAACTCCCAGATTTCTTCTTGGTTTAGGCCTAAATGAAGAGTAATAATATATTTCCAAAACACAGAGCATGATAAGCACACCTCTGTGGGGGATAAGCTGCAGATCTGTTAGATCGCTGGTCCTGTCATCCTGAGCCCAGTGACAAGTTACCCATTATGCTTTCATTTTTAAATCATCAAATTATTCTGTGTATCCCTACCTACTGGCCACTTTTAAATCACAGAGTGTCAGGCACACTTTTGGAATTATCTAGAACCATCTGCCTTCATGCTGGTGCACAGTGAATGGGGAGTTCCACTTTCCAACACAGTATTTTATGTGGTTGATGTGGTCACACAGAGACACAGTTTCTGCATACGATTGTTCCTCTGAAAATGTATATGTGGTGAATAATTTTTCATGAAAATTTAATTGTTCAATTCAGTTAAGACCCACAATTATAATGTAAGGCTGGGAAAGGGACATTTCCGCTTGGAAGAATAATCTCTTTTAACATTCAGATTGCTTTCTCTTTAGAGTCAGACTCAGACTTCGGAATGCCTATATGTCTGTGCTCATTACCTCTGCTGACCATCAGAAAACATGATTTTTTCTATGTAGTGTTTCAGGGGATAATTGAATTGTTCTCTGACAATAACTAGCAGGCTTGAATTTATTTTTTTAAAGTTTTTATTTTATTGATTTTTGAGAAAGAGAGAAAGAGAGAAAGAAACAGAAACATGTGTCCTAACTGGGGATTGAACCCACAACCTTGGTGTATTGGGACAACACTCTAACCAACTGAGCTACCCAGCCAGGAGAATTTGTATTTTTAATCTTTTAAGTCCTTATTTACTCTTGGTTATTCATTCAGAAAGCATTCATTAATGATCATTCAATATTTTAGACTTTATTTAAAAAGTTAAAAATTCTAAGTGGGCCCATTTAGACATTCCACAAATAACCAAATGGAATCAAGTTTCAAGTAAATGACAGTCATTAAGTTGATTACTTTGTATAAAATAATGCAGACAGAACTATAAAAGAACTATTATTTTCAAATGCTGTATTGACTATAGTATTGCAGTGGGTATCCTAAACCAAAAATGTACCTTTGACCCTAAGGCCGTTTAAACAGTGCTTGTACTAAGCGACATCTTGCCTATAAAAATCGCTCTGTAAGCAAGGCTGCTGGAGTGTCTTCTCAGACCTGTAAGAGGCTCTGGTCCAAAGAAATACTGCAAAGTAGCTACATTTTTAAGTAGTAATGAGATAATAGAATTAATAGAGCATCAGAAATGTCATGGAGAATTTAAAACTAGACCAGTACTTTTTACTAGAAAAGCTTTTTACACACAATCTGACTCATAACAGAAGATTATCTGAGAGAGTTCAAAGTATTGAATAAACAAAAACTACAGAAAAGCTGTACCATCAGAAAACTTGGTCACTGTGGGGAAATGAGTCACATGCATAAAAACCAAAGGCAGGCCATCTAGATCCTGGATTCATAGTTCTCTAAGGGAGCCTGGACTTCAAGGGGATCCTGAGAAAGAACACCAGTGCTTGTTTTTATTTTTTATTTTTACCAAGTAGGGAAGAAAACAGAGTCTTCATCTGATTTGCTTAAAATAACAACTATAAAGCGTAACACTCTCTGAGTACTGGAGTGGGGCATTTCAGTTCTTTATCCTCAGCAGTTAACACAGAACCCCGACTTCTTTAGGTACACAGTATGTTTTGTTAAATGAATATCTACTATTGCCAGGAAGGAGATTACAATAAATTAAGTGCACTCGAAGGTTATCTGTTCAACGGAATTGTCTCAGTTTCCAAGTCCTTGGAGAAAACAAGCTAAAGCAGTGGCTCTCATCGCAGGGGATTTTGTACGCTCAGGGGACATCCGGCAACGTCTAGAGGCATTCTGAGTTGTCACCAGCACGTGTGTGGGAAATTTCTGCTCGCGTCGAGTATGCAGGGGCCAAAATGCTGCTAAGCAACCAACAATGCACAAGATACTCCTGCAAATGAAGAATTATCCAGTACAAAAGGTCCATAATGCCAAAGCTGAGAGACACTGAACTACAGTAACTAAACTAAAAGTCCAAGCTGGAATGGGGAGATCTCTGAATTTCACAAAAATCTTTAATCAAAAGCAAATTATAGCAATGCTATACTGTATATTTTAAAATCAAAGCCTTTCTTTTCTAACTCCTAAATGCTTTAATCATATGGACATGGAATATCAATATCCCAAATTTAAGGAAATTACATATTTTCTTAAGATAAAACCACATACCTGCTTATGAACCGGGGGAAATCTGCTTAAACATCACAATTGGTTTTCTAATTTGTAACTTTGTCACATTTTTTTTACTGTTGAAAAGATTTATATGCAACCATATATGGTGTTTTAAAGTATTTTTTGTGCCTAATATCTTAAGTGTGGCATTAATTTGTGAAAGAATACAATGTATAATATCTTTATGGTGAAATTACCTGGATTAGACAAGGTACTCAATGGAAGGATTTTTTGGATAATGTATAATTTACATTATCCAAAAAATTGCCTCTTAAACTGTAGCACAGAATTCGTCCAAACAAGCACATGATGAGACATACAAAATTTCTGCTGTAATTTTGTATTAAGTGTGGACTAATAATCTCTGTGTATTTTCATTTTCTAGTAAATCTTGGAAAATGACAAGAACCACAACCTTCCATTCAGCTTCTATCCCTCTACTCTCCATGGGCTTTTCTGTAACATTTAGAAATGAACTTGGAGGATGAAATCAGGAATTGACAGAAAACTGTGTAAAGATATTCCCAAGTGGTAAGTCCAGTACAAAAGCCTGGCATCTGCATTGCTTTGATCAGCTAGAATATATGTGAACCTACTAACTGCAATGAGGCAAGTCTCACAGTAGTGTCTGGTAGGTAAGACACAGTTTAGCAAGGCAATTGGAATTCATCTTTCCATTTCATAAATATTATCCAGATAAATAAAATGTGCATTAAAGTGACTGATCTATTAGGAAGTATTCTACCAAATTAAAAAAAAAAAAAGACATGATTACTTTTGTACATAGAACCCCAGTCAAAAGTAAGTAAAAACACTGAGAATTGGAACTCCGCTTGAAATCTCTATTGATTCTTTTATGAGTGAAGTTACCAAGTGACTATGTGTTTTGTTATTTTAATGACAGCCTGATTAACATCTTCTTTGGGATGTGGTTACTGGTATGTAGCAAGATGACACTGCTTTAAAATAATTCCTAGTTATTTCTGACTTTGGAATTTTGGTATCTCAAGTGGCTGTAAAGAGGCTAAAAGTTTAGTGTAATAAAAATCTTTTTCCTTTCACATTAAGCAACTTAATGACTCTAAGCAACTTATCTACCCTCTCTGTGTTTGGGCTTTTGCGTTTAAAACAGGCAAAATCCTGGCACTTCCCTCAGCACATTCTGATGATGAAGCCAGTGGACACGCACAACACGCTGGGACGGGGCGGGCACGGGGTGAGTGCTCTGCAAACCTGTGCCACTCCTCCTCATGGCTGGCCCCTGGTCTCCCCTCCAGGTGCTACATACTGTTTCCAACAGCTCTGTGATAGCCTTTACGCCACGGAAAGGGTCTATGTCGGCCCTGTACCTTGGGGTCCTAATCATTAGGCGTTTTTTATTTGTCTTTGTAACTCCAGTCTTTAGAACAACAACTGGCTTACAGATGCTCAGCAAACTTTCTGTTGAATCACCTTCCCATAAAATTTCTGCATGACATTGACAGTGTGTTCAATCCAATACTGGCCTCTTCTTGTACACTGCAAACTTAAATGTTAAGAATGCCTATTTTTATCCTTGAGTAAATAAAGGTTGTCTAATTATTTCCTAATGACCTAAAGTTAGGAAGAGTCCAAATATGAAACCATGGAATTAATTCCAAGACTACTTTAACTTTTTAAACCATGTCATTTTAGCTTTGGAGGTCAAAATAAAAAAATATATTACCCAACACTGAAAAAACCCACAATATTCCCTTTGGAGACTCAGGGGTGGAGACTTACTCTTTTCGTCAGCTGAGTATCCATCATGAAGTTGTGTACGTGCTTTTCTGCTTTGGTAAGTTCTAGCTTCCTTGCTACTACAGCTACCACCAGGGCTGTGCAACCAGCACCCTGAAAGAGAAGAGAACCACCAAACGTTATTTTTGGTCTCAGCCACCTTAGACCAATTTAGCACCAAGTACGTAAGTATCTGAAGTAAAAAAACAAACCAACAAACCTATAGTATTCAGTGTCTTCAAATACTATAAAAAATGCATGGTCAACATGCAATGTATCTTTATATTGGGATTAAAAAAATTTAGCTCACATATGTTAGGAAATACAGCATGATGTGTGAATCAAACATTTTAATCATAAAATATAGAATGCAAAACAACTTGCTGAATTTTCAGAGACTTCTTAAAAATGGTAAATCAGTTATATACCTGTACATATAAAAGGAGCAAATAATCAATGAGTAAATTAGCATAAATGTATAGAGTAAAAATAAGAATTGTCCCAGTATAATATTCCATAATCTTCTCTCAAAATACGACTAACAGGTCTGCGGGACAATCAACTGTAATACACCAGGAATGAAGAGAGATGCATTGTACAACTGCAACCTGTTCTACACACATACAGGAAGGCCACAGTGATCTGAACCTGGACAACAGATACAAGAAGTGCTGAAGGTAAGAGAGAACCATCTGACTATTCTAGGGGTTGACTAGCACTAAGAAAGGTACAAGCTACTTTTATTCTGAGAAACGTTAACAGTGGTCCTTGTTGAATTATGGCCCAATGCTGATCTCTTAGGAAGAGATGGGTGACACTCTATGCAGTGTCCCAGAGATGACAGTTCCTCTGCTCCATGATCAAGGTACACCCACTCTAAGTCATGAGGTGTGAGATCTTCTTGGCTGATTACACACAGGATCAGGAAGCAAGGTCCCGCCGCAGCTACTTCACTGAGCCCGTACACAGTTGACCTATTGGTCGGGAAGGGGCCCACTGAGCAGCTGCCATGGGTGCAGTGAAAGGGAAGTCCAGAACTCCCGACAGAATGTCACCCTGAAAGGACCACACAGCAGCAAAGATCACCAAGATGTCTCAATGGACAGAAAACCACTAATGGGAGTGTTCAGGCAATAGCCTACTGAAGGGGGCACAAACAATGGGATGTTAGTTACCCTGCCTCCGAATCTTTCAACAGACTTGAATTTTTATAAGCTAGTTTTTAATAGCATCCCTTTTACGTTAATCAAATGGTAGGGTACTCAGGGGATGGCCTAATTTTATTTGTTTAAAAGGATTTTTTTGGGCAAACTGAAAAGAAGTATGTCCAACAGTGACAAGAGGTTTTCTCTCAGTGGTGGAAATATCAGTAACATTTTGCTCTTTGTGATTTTCCCTATAGTATGAATCTTCTACATGGTGGGAAAAAGTACATTTATAGTTGTTCAGATGGAAAATAATACAATTATTAATATATAACAATACAAGAATAAACTCTTTTATGTACACACAACTATAAATCTACTTTTGCTCCACCCTCTATTATAAATACATATTACTTATACAAAAAATATACACTTTATACATTGTCAAACTACATTGACAATTTGTAGTTTTAGAAAACATCTAACCTTTGCCTCTCTTTATTAATCTTAAAAATACAACTTAGGAAAATGATCTTTATGAATCATTCTTATGTTTTATATATAGTTAATAAACATAATTGAGCCATTCAGTTACAGACCAAAGAAGGCATTTTTTTTTCAAAGATTTTATTTATTTATTTTAGAGAGATGGGGAAGGGAGGGAGAAAGAGAAGGGAGTGAGACATCAATGTGTGGTTGCCTCTAGCACACCCCATATTGGGGATATGGCCTGCTACCCAGGCATGTACCCTGACTGGGAATCAAACTGGTTATGTTTTGGTTCACAGGCCTGTGCTCAATCCACTGAGCTACACCAGCCAGGGCCCAAAGAAGGCATTTTTAGGCTCACAACAAATCTGGTCGGAGGGACAAGAGAGAGAATAAAAGAAAATACATACACTTGCCCTGCGTTGCTACAACCTGATAACTGTGACCATAGAGAAATAACCTTATTAATGAGCCAATACTGTTTAGGTGTAGTATTTTCAGAGGGTTTGAATATCTCCTTCCATCTAGCTCTTGAAGAAATCAGTATCCTCAGAAATGAGTGATATTGATCACATGAATCAGAGAGAGGCTGGAAAATATTTAGGCATTATGTGGTTTAACCTCTGATTTTAGAAATGAGATGACAAAAACAAGTAAGGGATTCTTCAGTTGTGCACTGTAATCAGCACTGATACATTCCCCCCTTTACCTTGTCTCATAGTACTTCTTTTTTTAAGATTTTATTTATTTACCTTCAGAGAGGGAAGGGAGGGAGACAGAGACAGAGAAACATCAATGTGCGGTTGCTGGGGGTCATGGCCTGCAATCCAGGCATGTACCCTGACTGGGCATCGAACCTGTGACACTTTGGTTCGCAGCCCGCACTCAATCCACTGAGCTACACCAGCCAGGGCATCTCATAGTACTTTTCACCACATTTTTATCTGTGGTCATTTCCATATCTATGATAAAATATGAAGTGCTGTATTTCAAAGCAAAACAAGACTATCAAATTCACCTTATTTTAATATGATAAACTCAGTGTAAATGTGTAAGAATTGAACAATATGGTTGGTTAATTAACAAAATAAATCAACACTGTTCCTATTCAAAGCTGACACAACTTTTAAATTAGTAGTTCTTAACCTTGACTGTGACTAGAGGCACCTGGAGCACTTGTAAGAATTCCAGGGCTGACAGACTGTGTGTCCAACCAATCGGATCCTGACCTCCAGGGATAAAACCCAAGCATCAGACATTCTTAAAGCTTTCCAGGTGATTCCAACAGAGTCAGATGAAGAAGGCCATGAGGGAATATGGTAAAGTCCTAAACTACTTTCTGTTTTGAACAAGAGTTAAAGGTTTCTATCAAAGCCATTTTGGAAATGGTAAACAAGGAAAGTCCCGGCGGAGGACAGAGAGTGCGGGGTCAGAAATGTCTGGGCGGGTGTGGTGGTTATCCTGGTATTTTGTGTGCTGTGTGGGCCATGGAGGCAAGCTGACTTCCAAGCTGGATACCAGTGAAGGAAAAGAATGGCCTTGGAAGCAGCTACTGCTAATTTGTGGACTTTAAAACATCTGCCACAGAATCTAAATAGTCATGTTCTACTGAGAGGGGTTAGCCAAATCGTTGGCCACTCATGACAGCCATCTGTACCTACCCACAATTTAACTCATCATTTGCTTGACAAGGACAGCAGGTCCTTGAATAACGTCACTTTGTTCAAAGTCATTTCTTTATCATGTTGATGGGATGCCAGAGGAACATAACTCTTGTTTATATCAATCAGCCTACAGTAAGACTGGTTTTGTTATATGTGGTTTCGCTTACAGTCATGGGGCTTACAGACGACGGTAAGTGAGGACTTACTGTATGGGATCACCTGTTGAGTGATGCTCCCAGGTACTCCTCAATCAGTGAGGCGTGGGAAATTCTAGGGCAGTGATGGTTTCTGAATACACAGAGCATGTAAAAATCTGGGGGGCTTGATCACTGTAAAGATAGCTATGAGCGGCAGTTGGCATTCTAAGTTGAATACTGTTTTCCCCTGGCAGGTGGCCACTGCTGAGATCCTTCTGGAAAGAAATCAAAATCCTAACAGGAGTGGAAAATCACTGGTATCAAGAGCCTTTGTAAGTCAATTTTTATTTGTGTTTGTTTCTGGGCTCTATTTTTTTTTCCTGCTGCTGGCCCATTTCTGGATGAGTGTTCTCTAGTTCACCAAGTCTCATGCATTAAAATGAGTACCTTTGTTGCAAAATGGAGAAGAAAGTGGGACGGACAATTTAGTAATTATTAAAACTATTACCTACACCCCTCATTCCATAATCTTAACTGTACCCTTTAAATTGTACCTCAAGAGCCTCTCAAGGAATTTAAACTTAAGATTGTTCAAATGCAACGTATTTTGCTCCTTATCTGTAAGCCTTATTTTAATTAGGGAAAACCATAAACTCCCCAGGTTCTTAATAAATCATAAGAGAGTTTGATATACAGATAGAGTTGGATTTCAAAATAACTTTTATTTTCTAATTTTTAGAGTTACACAAAATGAAGCTGGCTCACCTCCAAAAGCTTTCTAGGTTCAAGGTAAATTCCTGCCAATACATTATGATTATAATAATTTAAGTAATAGCAAGATGTTAATGTCCACTCAGTGTCTATTTCTATGACCATTCTGTTTCATAAAGTGAATAAGAATGAAAGTAAATATGCTTTCACAACATTTTTCCCCAAAGCCTGTCGTCATCACAATGGATACAGAAACAGTTGGGACTAACATATGTTACTCTCTGAAATGAAGATCCCTGTATGCCTTTACCAAGATGAGTCACATTCCGTTCACCGAATACAGAAAATGTATCTGCATTACTTTTCTCCCGTTTCATTTATGTTATTAGGAAAAGCTAAGGAAATCACTAACCTGACACTTTAAGATAGTCAGGCAACCAAAAGTCAAATGAAGAAAACACAGTGTGTTATGAAGCCAATATATTAAAGTAGCCAAGGAAAACCTATACGTTAAAAAAAAATAATCTGTCCTTCTAACAAATTAGATGTTGCAAGAGAAAGAGAAAGGTGGAGGAGAGAGGCCTGGTCCTTAGAAAAGAGAAGTAATTATTAATTCTCATCACCCTATGCCAGACCAAAGTGAACTGACAATCAGATATAAGCTCTACAGCACAAGCTATAGTTGAATGCCCTCAGTGGGAGAGTCTTATACACTGCCATGTTAGAATGTAGTGTTTTCTCTGCTGCATTCTTCTTTGTCATAGTACAGATACTACTGTTGGTTCCTAGAATGTAAAGGAAGTTCAGGTCACTCATTCTCCCCAAATTCATTTGTCATGTAATATTTGAAAAATTCAAAGTGGTGACATTTCTAGTTTAGACAACCTGGTTATGCTAATCCTACAAATACTTCCAAGAATAATTTTAAAAATCATATTGGGATAAAGCTTTAAAAACTTGAGACTACA